GCCATTGCCAGTAGGTTGGAGGCCATCGCTAGTACGTTGGAGGCCATCGCTAGTAGGTTGGAGGCCATCGCTCTTAGGTTGGAGGCCATCGCTAGCAAGTTGGAGGAAATCGTTAGTTGGGAAAGAAAAAAGGATTTGTTGACTTGAGATGAAGACCCCTTGCACTAAGTGAGGGAAGAAACCGCAAAAAGGCCAAAAATAAGCCTCTTTATAGTTGCAAAAAGCAAAATCGGCAACTGAAACTGCTCAGAAGTCTCCTGCCACAGTACATCTTCAGAACTCGCATCCGTGCGCAATCATCTTCACGACTGTTTTAGAATGTAGTTATTGTTTTTGTTGCATGTTTAACAGTGAGACCTTTGCTTTTCTTGTTTTTCTTTCTTTCTACCCTTAAACCGTGTCGTTCCTTTTTTTGTTGAAAAGAGCGTTGGAAGCTTCACTTTCGCTTCTGCCCCACAAAGATTGCTTTTGGGCGAGAATATTCTCAGGGAATGGACTTTCTGGATGCTTCTAGGAACAAGTGCATCGCTTCTAGTAACAAGTGCCTTACTAGTAGTAACAAGATGCTTCTAAGTTAACTTTAATTCGAATTACTTTTAATTCTTGTTACTACTAGTAAGGCACTTGTTACTAGAAGCGATGCACTTGTTTCTGCATGTTTTTCCCTGTTCAACAGTGATCTGTCTTTGCGTTGTTTCAGAAGTTTATGTCTTCCCTTCTTCATTACTCTTGTTTCATAAACTGTCTGTCTTCCTTTCTTAGTACTTCTACTTCTACTAGTCTATAAGTTTATAAAGACACACGAACACGCTTTTCGGTAAATCCACAACGAAACATTGGACCCTGCCTTGAGGAGGGCACCTTGTGGCTTTCGTCAAAAGCTCGAAACGAAAAGGTTTTAGATTGTTCACCTACTTGCGATGGCCTCCACCTATTAGCGTCCTCTTCTTTGGAAAGCAACAAGAACGGACGAAAACGTGGCCTGGTTGTGTCTTCATGTGTCTTCATGTGCCGTCTTGTCTTCGTTTGCCCCTCGAACATGGAGCGACGAGATGCTTTTCTTACTGGAATGTAGTAGCTTCTTGTTACTACTAGTAAGGCACTTGTTACTAGTAGCGATGCACTTGTTTCTACTAGCTTCTTGTCTCTTCTTCAAAGAAGCCTTCTTGTTCCTAGTAAGTGGTGGCAAAGACGACGGCTTTAGTTCTTCTTCGGAGCGTAAAGTCCAAGGATGTCTTTTTTTTCTAGGTCTAAACCAACAAGTTTCGATTGTTCCTAGTAGCTTCTTGTTACTAGTAGTAAGGCCAGGAGCTACTAGTAGCGTCCTTGCTACTAGTTGCGATGCTCTTTGCTCCTAGTAGTTTCTTGTTCCTAGTAGTAATGTCAGGAGCTACTAGTGGCGTCCTTGCCAAAAAAACTTCAAGAACCTGTACGATCCTAAACCTTGGTATTGACCACTGCGGAGGTGTTTCCATGGCAGAGTTGATGGCAACGTGTGAGTTGTCTACATTGTCAAAGCAAAACGGAGAATGAGATACTACTGTTACAGCAGTGGCAATGTCATTGAATTGAAACAAGACCTTGAAAAGGGTGTAGGCAAGGATCTACTTGTTGTACGAAGGAAAAAAGGGACAAGGTCAGGCATCTTCGCAAGGGTACAGTAGCAAGTTGGCAAGGGGGGAACGAAATGTGAGGTCTAAGAGCCTAAGGGTCTTCTAAGTCCAGCGCTATTAGGAACAAGGAGGCTACTAGGGGCTCCTGGCATCACTACTAGGAGCAAGAACGCTACTAGGGGCTCCTGGCATC